CCTCCCTCCCCTCCTTCAGGTCTTAACTCCAAGGACACCCAAGGTCGCAACCTCGGGCCTCCCCCTGCGTCTCCCGTCCATCATCCTTGCATCCCTCCTCTCTCTGAAACTCATCATTTAAAAATAGTTGATGTTTACTTATTTATGTCCATCCCCCCCCCTCTAATAAAAGCACCCAGCTCAGCTCCTGTGTGTGTGCACGAGCACGCGTGTTTCGGTCATTGCTGCGTGTGTCTTCGGCATCTGAGGGAGAGATGTCACAGTAGGAACACGCTGAGGATTTGTTGAACAAATGAGATCACCGTACCCTATTAAAAAGAAAGGGACCTGCTTGGGACCAAATCCACTATGTCTGAGGATGTTGCGGGGACCCGACTGGGGGTCTCAGCTCCATCCAGGGAGCTCAGCTGACCCTTGGTGTCTGCTGCACCTTGTGGGTCCACCGAATTGACCAAACACAGATTGAAAATATTTTTTAAAAGTTATTTAAAATTTAAAAAATTTTAAAAATTTAAAAATTGGCTCAGTGGTAGAGCACTTGCCCAGCGTGCATGAGGCCCTGGGTTCAAGCCCCAGCACCACATAAAAAACCCATATAAACAAAATAAAGGTACTGTGTCCGTCTACAACTAAAAATATTTTTAAATCTATTATTTATGTCCTGAGCATGCACAGACATTTTTCTTGCCATTGTTCCCTAGACAATACCATGTAACAACTATGTGCCTAGCCTTTGCGTTATACTCGGTGTTATAAGGCATCTGGAGATGACTGGAAGCCCACAGGCGGATGTTCTAAGTTCTATTCTCTACTCCACCGGTTTCTGCAGGCACGTCTGCAGGGCATCCCGGAACAAGTCTTCACAGAGACCAAGAGGAGACTGTACTCACTGCCTTTTAACAGTGTTCCTTAGGCCCCTTCAGATGTTATTCAGGATTTGGGGGTGTCCAAAATGTCCCTTTCTCTCTCCCCTTCTTCTCGCTTCCTCAATCCTGAAATTCATTTCAAATGTTGGTTCCTGGGGACGCTTCCTCTAAGACCCCAACCCTACTCCTTGCTACTCATTTCTTCAAAGCATTCTCTTCAAAGCATCACACGGGGTTCTAGAAGCATCATGAGGATTCCACGTCTGGTGTCTGTCCTCGCCGCTGCCTCTGTGGGCAACGATGGGTGCTCCTCCTCCCCTCTCCTCCTTGCTCTTTTCCCACACCCTGCGCCTGGCACAGAAGAAGTCTTTCTAGATATTTCCTAGTAAGTTTGGAAATTTTGGCTTGAGTTCCCTGATGGACCTTAGCACGGCCAAGGCTCTGATAAACCTTCCCATAAAAACTTACTTCGCCCTGCAATGCATGAAATTAACCTCAGAGCGCCCTTTCCCCGTGCACCTGGTAAGATTGCCAGTGTTCCAAGGAGCCTGGTTTGGAAAACAGTCATCATTGATCTCCAACATAAAACGGATCCTTCATTTAAGAGACAGCTGAAGGTGATGTCTTTTATCCAAGAACCTGAAATGTCTCTGTGAGCATTCTAACTCCTTTTGGCTATTATTCTGCCTGGATTTCCCCAGGTGCAGTGGGGTGGGACAGCAAGATTCATGTGTCTGGAGCCCACGCGTCACCAAGGGCTGGGGGAGCAGAGACGGAGGCCCACACCTGGGGGTTATTACTAGCAGATCTACGTTCTAATGGAGGTTATGGAGGTGGCGTGTGTGTGTGAGGGAATGCATTCCTGGCTGGGGGAAGAGCTCAAATTCCACAATTCCCTGCTTTGTTCCTTAACCCTGCCCTACGTGGGTCTTGTCATCTATCAGTGGGGCTCCTTGAGGAATGACTGCGGTCACTCTACAGCCCACACTCAATACACGGTCCAGCCCCTTCCAGGCATCCAGCAAAGGGCACCTGTCATTTCCAGGGGTCCCCCTTTCTCTCCCAGCAAGATCCAGGCGGGGTCCCCCATTGGGCTCCGGCTCTGACCTCAACCTCTGATAGACTCTCTTCCAGAGTCCAGAAGAGGGCTGGCAACTGTACACCTCGGCCCAGGCCCCTGACGGCAAATGCATCTGCACAGCGGTGATCCCGGCTCAGAGCACCTGCTCCCGCGATGGTCGCAGCCGGGAGCTGCGGCAGCTGATGGAGAAGGTAGGAAACTCCAGGGGCCACTGGGGAAGACGGTGGTGCTGGGGACCGCATCCAGGACCTCACACACGCCAGGCACATGCTTTACCACCAAGCCCCATCCCTCGTCCCGATGGATATTTTAATTCAACGTCTGCTACCGCTTCCTGGGGAGAGAAGCCAAGAGCCTGTAGTCAGGGAGAGGAAAATCCCAGGGGCAGGATCTGAGTCTTGTCCGTGCCCACTGCGCCCGCCCCGTACAGCCTTTAGTGCACCTGCTGATGGCATTCTGCGCCTCTCGGGGACCTCCCCCCACTCCTAGAAGGAATCTCCTGTAAAGATTTCTTCTCCCTCTGATCGCGGTTGATGTTAAGAGGTCCCATCAATCCATCCCCGAGGTATTTCAGGGCCCTTTGGAGACTGATGGCCATTACCCACCTGAACTGCCCATTGGTCACTTGATGCCAGTGGTGGAAGGGACCAGGGCTCTCCCAATGCTCCTTCGGTAGAGGAAGCTGAGGCTTGGCAGAGAGCACTGTCGGCACCAGGGTGTCCTCCACCTGTTGCTCTTCCTACCCCGACACGGCTCTGCCTTCCCCACCTGTTTGAGACGTCCACGTGGTGCCCTCTGATTGTTGATAATGGCTGAATGTCTGTGGCCCCCAGGGGGCTGGTGGGCTGCTGAGTTTCTGAGAACTTCCAGGGGCCCTGTGAGCGGTCACACAGGACAGTCTGCATTCCACCAAGGCACCAGTGGTGTCTGAGTTCACCTTAGCCAGTGGGGTTCAGTTTGGCCGTGGGGTTCAGTTTAAGAAGGTGGAATTTACTTTAGGCAGGTGGGGCTCACCTTAAGCAGGTGGGGTTCACTTCAGCCAGGTGGAGGGGGGAGCTGGAGGACCCTCAGGCCAGGTCAGGAGAGGCCAAGGCAAGGGAATTTAAATTCAATCATCCAGCCAAAAGTTTTCATTTAGCATCTACTTTGGGGCCAGAACTGGGCACTGGGGATTTAGTTAGTGGAGGACAAGCTAGACACTGACTCTACCTCTGAGGATCCCATCTGAGGAGGCAGATGTATAAGAATGTTCCAGATAGCTGGGAAGAAAATCCCTGGGCAAGGGGAGTGTGAGCAAGCCAAGAAGGTCAGGGAGACCGCAGGGAAGTGATGCTGAAGTTCACACCTGAGGGATGAACAGGAGCCAGTCTTGGGAAGATGAGGGGAACAGTGGTGGGATCAGCATGTGCAAAGGCCCTGAGGTGGGGAGGAACTTAGAGCCTCTGACAGCGGGAGGTTAGAATGGAATCATCCAGGAGAGGAAGCAGGTAAGGGAGCAGGACCAGCCTTGGCAGGATCTGTAGGGGAGGAAGTTCACCTGACTTCTTTTTGGAAAGCTCTCTCTGGCCGCTGTGGGGTGAACTTATGACAGGGGGTAAGGGTGGAAGCAGGAGAACAGGGAGCAGGTGGGAGGTGATGGGAGCCAGGGGATGAGGGGGGGCAAGGAGTGGACATGCTATCGGGAGGTTGCTAGGAAGATGGGGGGAGAAGGTTGGTTGGGTGTTTGTGTGGCCTCTGGCCCTGCCAGGTCTTTTCTGTGACGTCTCTGGGTTACCGGGTGGGAGGGATTTTGGCCTCCAGAATTGTCCCCACTCCTAGGTCCAGAATGTGTCGCAGTCCATGGAGGTCCTTGAGTTACGGACGTTCCGCGACCTGCAGTACGTCCGCAGCATGGAGACCCTCATGCGCAGCCTGGACGCGAGGCTCCGGGCAGCCGATGGGTCCGTCTCGGCCAAGAGCTTCCAGGTGGGTCCTTCGGGGCTCAGGCCAGATATGGAGGGAGTGACTGCGATTGGTCTCAGTGGACCCAAGGACAAGGTCGTGTCTGGGAAGAAACAGGGGCTGGCTGGGCTCTGGGGTCCAGTACGGGTCAAACGTCAAGGGCCAGGGTTCACCAAAGACAACGGGTCTGTGGTGAGGACTGGCGACCCTTCTACCTTGGCGGCAGGAGCTGAAGGACAGGATGACAGAGCTACTGCCCCTGAGCTCGGTCCTGGAGCAGTACAAAGCGGACACGCGGACCATCGTGCGCCTGCGCGAGGAGGTGCGCAATCTCTCGGGCAGCTTGGCGGCCATCCAGGAGGAGATGGGCGCCTACGGGTACGAGGACCTTCAGCAGCGCGTGATGGCTCTGGAGGCCCGGCTCCATGCCTGCGCCCAGAAACTGGGTACGCCTTGACCATTGACCTTGACCCCTGACCTCCATGCCCCCCACCCCAATGCCACCTGTGCTCCGCATCTGGGCGCTTTTCAACCTCTGACTTCTAAACCTCGACATCTGATTTCTCTATCCAAGGCCAAACCTGGGCCCAGAAACTGGAAATGATCTTGAATGACCTTGACCCTTGACTTCCCACCCGGCACCCCCAACCGTGCTCTACACTGGGACCAGATTTCTGCCCCTTCTCGCATCCCTGGTCCTTGCCCTTCCCAGTCTGAGCCTTGCCCTCCTCCCTTGGGCTCTTCCCATCCCTACCTCATTCCCTCTGTTCCTGTCCCCAGGCTGCGGGAAGTTGACTGGTGTCAGTAACCCCATCACTGTCCGGGCTATGGGGTCCCGCTTTGGCTCGTGGATGACTGACACGATGGCTCCCAGTGCCGATAGCCGGGTGAGTGACAGTGCCCAACCCAGGGACCAGCTTCTGGGAGGGACATGGTCCGTGACTGCCCACAGGTACCCAGGGACTCCACACCAATGACTCTTGTAACCAAAGTGTCCTAAGGGATCCTCAGCAGCTTTAGACCTTCCCTTGACTGTCTAGTGACAAGCAAGTGACCAAGGACCCTCTAGCCCTGTAAATCTAAGATGATGTCAATGTTACTAGGTGATGTAATGTTATGGAGCCACTATTGTATATGTGTCATTGACCAAAATGTCATATGTAGCATAAGACTGTATGGCTACAGTGACCCATGCCTTTCCTGCTCAGTGACATTTGGACTTCCAGTGGCCTCCTTGATCATGACTGCCCATCACTTAGACCCACAAGAACCAGGAACAAACTGCCCAGGGACTATCCTGCACAGTGACCTTCCTAGTGACTGATATAGGTCATTGAACGGCCACTGAGTATCATAGACTACAGGTAGAAATAAGCCTGTGATCACTGGTCCCCCAGGGATCATGATGGTTCAACCAACTGGTTGGCTTGGAAATCAGGCTTGGATCACGTAATCTTAGGCAGCATTTTTAATGTCTGACTCTGATTTCCTTATCTTCAAAATTATCATGATAATTTCAGAATTAAAGTTCTTAAGATTCTTAGCTCAATACTAAGGGCACTCACAAGTACTAATTAGTATGACAACAAGGACAATGAAGACAATGTTGGCGATGAGGAAGTCATGCCTAGTTATCTTATTACGGGGGTTACCTATGGGCAATGAATTCAGGGGACCACTAGCCACCAGTGTCCAGTGATCAGTGAAGTCCCCAGGGAGTGCAATTTCCCCTATTCCTTTGGGATCAAGCACCACCCACCTAGTGTCTGTTACTCTTAGTCACTGGGTCGTGAGTGGACAGTAGAAAGCCCATGACCGAGTAATGACCATGTAGGTGGCATTGGTCTTTGATGACCTTCGTTGAGTCCTGAATGGTTGCTGGGACCCTTGGGTCATGGACGCTGGTCCCTCCAGTGACCAGAGGCTACTCTCATAGGTCTGGTACATGGACGGCTATTACAAGGGCCGGCGGGTGCTGGAGTTCCGCACTCTGGGCGATTTCATCAAAGGCCAGAACTTTATCCAGCACCTGCTGCCCCAGCCATGGGCGGGCACGGGCCACGTGGTGTACAATGGCTCCCTGTTCTATAACAAGTACCAGAGCAACGTGGTGGTCAAGTACCACTTCCGCTCGCGCTCCGTGCTGGTGCAGAGGAGTCTCCCTGGGGCTGGCTACAACAACACCTTCCCCTACTCCTGGGGTGGCTTCTCCGACATGGACTTCATGGTGGACGAGAGCGGGCTCTGGGCCGTGTATACCACCAACCAGAACGCGGGCAACATTGTGGTCAGCCGGCTGGACCCGCACACCCTGGAGGTCATGCGGTCCTGGGACACTGGCTACCCCAAGCGCAGTGCTGGGGAGGCCTTCATGATCTGTGGCGTGCTCTATGTGACCAACTCCCACCTGGCCGGGGCCAAGGTCTACTTCGCCTACTTCACCAACACGTCCAGTTATGAGTACACGGACGTCCCCTTCCACAACCAGTACTCCCACATCTCCATGCTGGATTACAACCCCCGGGAGCGGGCCCTGTACACCTGGAACAATGGCCACCAGGTGCTCTACAATGTCACTCTCTTCCATGTCATCAGCACCGCTGGGGATCCCTAGGTGCCTCCGCGGCTCAGGCTGCCCCACGTGGGCTGCTGGGGCCCTTCCCACTCTGCCTGTGTCCCTTCAAGTTTCTGTCTCTGTGGTGCCCTCTCCCCACCTTTCTGCACACCCAGCTTTCATTCTCTGCCCTGAATTCCTATCAATGCCTCTTCTCCATTTTCTCTTCTCCTTTATTGATCTCTGCTTTTGATACTCCACTTCTTGGTCTTTCTGCCTTTTATTGATGTCCCTCCGTCTCTTTCTTTTCATTGATCTGACCCTCCAGTTCTCTTTCTGTCTCTCTTTCTCCCCCTCCCCTCCTGCTCTTTGCCCCTCTCCTGCTCTTCATCCTCACTCCCAACCCCCAGCCCCTGGAGTTGAGTGCATGGATCTTTTTTTTTTAATTTACACTTTTTTCTTTCTGGGTTGCTGGAATAAACGGGACCTTTGACATTTGACGCTTCGGTTGCTCTGTGTGTCCATTGGTGGCCAAGTTGGAGGTGAAGCCTGAGCGTGGAGCCCCATCCCCACTGAGCCCCTGTCCCATTCAACCAGGGGCAAGCAAGACCAGTCTGGAGCCCCCCTTCGCCAGGGTGAGCCCTTTGGGGAGACGAATGAGGAGATCTGATCCAAGGTGTTTCAATCAAAAGCAATTCGTTTAAAAGCAATTTGATCAAAACATCTGAGAATCTTCTAACAAGGATAGAAATTGGCCTCAAACAAATATTCCCTGTCGCTGGCTTTTCACTCATTGATCCATCCAGTGCTTCGCTGAGCTGTCTGGCAATGTTTTAATGGGTTTTAAACAGTTTGGCTACTTTTAAGAATCTGGGTATCAGAGGTTAGGGCCCTGCCAAATTTATCCCCTTTCTTCTCTTTCAGCTTTGTAACTTGAAAAATCGTTTCTAAACAAGTCACCCCACCCCAGGTGGGCTGCTCTGGTGGTCTGGCCATCAGTGGAACCCGGCACACTCCATGCCTGGAGCCTGTGTGCAGGAAGGGGCTGGGCCAGGGTGCTTCCTAACATGGGGACCAAACTCGTGGAGGAGACGGCCAGGCAGGCAGGAGGAATCAGAGGAGGGAGGAAAGAGGTGCAGGGTCAGGAAGAGGCTGGCAAAGTAAGAGGCCAGATGCTCTGGAGCCTTAGAAACGTAGCTAAAGGTAGGGCTGAGGGGCTGGAGGTGTCACAGAAGGGGGAGAACAAAACCAAGTGCTTTCAATACCTCGTCTGGTGAGCTATGTGAGGCAGGCTGAAGGGATGAAGCTGGGGACCAGGGAGGTGTCAAAAGTTGAGGGGCAAGCAGATGGGACTGCAAGAGGGGTGGGAGAGTCATCCCTAGGGCAGTTTTTTTCTGGAATAGAGGTGAGAGGATGGTTCAGGGCTGCCCCCGCCTTCCACGTTAGCCCTTCAGGTGGTGCCATGCGAACCCAGAGCAGAAAAATCTTGCAAAGGGCCCCACTCGCCCAGAACCCACTCCTCTGTGGCCACAGGAAGGTGGTGGCGCTCCTCCCAAAGGCTTATGTCCCCATCTCTAATTAATGGCCTTCCTGATTAAATCATCTCCGCTTTGCGCTGGCATCTCCGGGAACTTGGACACTGGGGCCATATTGGGAATGAACCCCATGAATAATAAATGGGGCTGCCTAATGCACTCATTTAAAACCAATTTTTAAAGAAATTCTCCAGAACAATTAATTTCCATTTAAATGAACAAGTGTGACATCAGAAAAGGACGGGTTCCTGGGTTAACACCTGAAGCTGCACTTTGATCCATACCAACTGAAGAAACAAACAAAAACGTCACAGGTCTGGGATGCTCGGAACACTGTACCACCCCCCAACACTTACATTTATCTGGAGGCAGATTTCCAAGGTGAGGGGACAGGGTGGTTTATCCATCTGATACTGAACCCTCCAGAGTAGGGTCATGACTGGAGGATGCTGATTCAGCCTTTGTCCAGAATATGCTGAGACATGGAGATCCACTTCTTACACCAAGAACGGAGCTGATGGGACCCGTCAGTCACATCCGTACTTCAAGTCTCCAGAGCCCGGGCACCTGGCACACAACTGCCCACTCTCCCTCCCGCACACAGGCTCAGCAATCCTTCTACTTTCACGTTTGGGGTTTTGTTCCAACCAAGGGTGAGCAAGGGGAGAACACCGCCCCTCGAGGCCAGAACTGTCTGTGTCTGCCTGTCTTAGGCTGCCACTGTTAATTCTGTAATGTCCCGGTCATTATAGACAGGGACCTGGCTACATCCAGGAAGTTGTAATAACCCTGTTTGCCCTGAGGTGACCACCTCTAGCCCTGCCCAGTAGCCAGAGGCCAGGACTGATGCACATGGCAGAGGAGTGGAACCAGCTCTCTGGGTCAGGGCCTGGCCTGGGAGGGGGTGGGGCGTTCAGTGGCTGAGCCCTTGCCAAGCGAGCGCTCATCTCAAGCACTGGGAAGGAAAAAAAATATGAGAGGAGACTACACTGTCACCATCCTAAAGGCTTGGGATTTACAGCTCCAATTCTGGGCAAGAGGGGTGGGTGAGAATGTGGAGCAGGTGAGGGAAGCACAGCTACTTAATAATGAATCACTCAGACAGTGAGTGGGCTCTGGGGGCAGATTTGTCTAATAGCAATGTTCTTTGAGTTTTGGCCACTGCATGGATAGACAGGGAAGGGGAAGGATGAGGTCCAGGGTCTCTCAGCATGGCACAGGATACACACGCACTCACATACTTTGCGGATGCCCAAAGTGACAGTGCCATAAACACTATTTCTGGCCTCACACAGGGTAACGGTATGCCCCTCCTTGGCAGCATTTCAGACTCAGCAGGAGCCCGAGGGAGATCCTTCCCTGGGTTCTTGTGTCACAAATCAGAACACAGGGCTATTCTTCCCTTGGAGCAGCACTCAGCAAAACCTGCTCCCCAACCCCTCACTTCCAGTCATCCCCAGGGGCTCCCCTGTACCAGGAGCAGTGCAATCGCCTCCCCAACCCCACCCAACTGTTGCTGCAGACAGCAGGGCTACTGCCTGCCTGCCTCACAGCCCCCATGATGGAACATTCTGCAAGGAGGTGTAGCCAACCAAGCCGGCTCTCCTCAGCCCAGCAGAGCTGGGAAGAAACTCATTAAACCTTCCTAATGACAAACGCTCCAGCAGGCGGCTGGTGGGGAGAGCGATTGCTCCAGAAACCAGCCAGATGGGAGCAGGCTCAGGTGATTGTTTATGAGTCTCAGCGTGGAGTTGGGGGTGGGGGCTCCCTTGGGATTCAGCCTTATTTTGCAGGTCCCCAAGCTTTGCCAGCTTGGCCACCCCCACAATCCAGGCTGGTCCCACTAAGTGAGGGGGCCGTGGGTGGGAGAACCACTTCTACATCTAAATGACTCTCAATAGCCCCCGTCCCAGGCCATGGCAGAGGCAGCTGCGGAGGTGAAAGTGGACAGGCAGGCCACACTCGCAGCTGTCCACCCTGGCAGGGCCCCTCCCCCTGCCCCAGGCATCCTCTCAGCTCCACAACAGCCAGTGGAAGCCGAACTCTGCTCCCCACTCTGTTCCTCTGCTCAGCCCCTTCCGCCAGGATCTCTGCTGACAGCGGCACCTGGTATTAGCCCACTTCCAGGGGGCTTATGTTACCATGGTAACAGCAGCTGCAGAGGGTGCTGGGTCTGGCGGCAGGACCCAGAAACAAACTGTTGGAAGTGCTCCAGGTGACAGGGATACAGGCATCAGGATGCTGGGTGTGATTTGTTCTAATCTGACAGTGGCTTGTGTGTATGAGGGTGGGGAATGGGTGAAGAGCACCCAGCACCGAGGGGCCTCAGCCTGGCTCCCCCAGGAACAACTGGCAGGTCCACTGGCTCCATTCCCAACCTGCTGAATGGAGGCCGTCAGGTTAGCGAGGTGGGGCCCCTGCATCCTGGGACAGGCCCTGGGGAGGGCGTGGCACACCCTGCATGGTCTGGGGCTGGAAGGTGCCCCATGGCCCTGGTAGTCCTATAACTGGGAAGAACGCCCACAGGACCACCCTGGTACAGAAAAAGGGAGGTTCCAGGGCACGAAGAACAGTGTGAACAACTTGGGATGATGGACAATGATCCCCTCTCTGCATGACGGTGCCCACACCTCACCAGGCAAGAAATGAGACACAGGACGGCAGAGCAGTGGTTCCAGGTTTAATGGGGGAGCAAGGGGTGCTGCACTGCCGCCCAAAGGGCCTGCAGCTGGGCGGCTGGCACAGAGCATTTGCTTTTTGCAACTAAACAGAGGAATGGGGCAAACCGAGAGCCCAGCAACTCAGGCCTTGCTGCCTGCCTGCCTCTGGGACCTGGGGGATAGGTCACCCCCACTCCCCTGGGTCTGGGAGCCTCCCGACCCCCATTGCCCTTTGAAGTCAGTTACTTCAGGGGAGTCTGGCGGGGAGAGCCCCACCTGCAGGTAGAACAGGGAGCGGAAGCCCAGAGCTCCCAATCTCTAAGAGCCCCCCTTCAGCCATTTTGGAAACAATAAATACTGTGTGACGGTAGCAGGGAGGAGCACTCACTGGCCAGCGGGCAGCAGGGGAGCTGGTGGGTCCCGCGGCCCTGCCCCACCCTGCAGGCCAGCCTGGGCCGCCCACACTCCTCACTCGGTGCGTAGGATGATGTGGATACCAGAATCCGTGAATACGGGCCCGCTCATCTCCCCTGTCCGCAGCGCAAATGAGGCGTCTTCAAATGGCTTCTGCATCTGACCTAGGAACCACGAGGGACAATGGAGAGGAAGGGTTCAGCGAGTCAGTGCAGGGCCAGAAGGAGGCAGGTGAGTCGAGCCACAGCAGATGCGGCTCCCGCCTGTACCCACCCCTATTCATCCATCACTGAGTTTATGGCCTGTCACGGAGCAGAGCTGCAGCCTAGCCGGAGGTGGCAAGGCCATTAGGAGGCCCTGGGAAGCCCGAGGACAGCATGAGGGATGGCAGGCAGAGCCGCTGCCACCATTATGCATTTAGAGGCGCATTTTGGTGATGAACTCCTCTCCCTGGGCCTGGCTCCCCACACGGGCACATCATCTGCCCCACAGGCCTCCTGGGGTGGGTGAGGGCGGGACTCCCCCTCTTTGGCAGAGGTCTGAATACCATAGCCCACCCCGGGGCCTGTAGACCCTGAGGACTGAAGGCCGGCAGAGAGGAAGAAAGGGGGAGAGGAGAAAGGAGGTGGTGGGAGGAGGCAGCCAGGCCACCGTGGCTCCCTGATTTCCTTTGTCCTGGACAGATGGGCCTAAACTCAGGGCTGCTGACCTGCCCCCTCCCCTGGCCCTGGTTTCCTCACTTGTGAGACTGGAGAGGAGATTCTGGGGGACTCAGCTCAATAGCCCTGACAAAAGGGAATGCTAACAACAGGATGGAACCAACCTTTATGGGCCCTGATGGGGACAACTGTGCAAAGACACACAGACCCTGGGAGGGAATGACATCAGAAA